TGAGGAATAAGAACACAAAACAGCTAAGTTTCCAAAGAAGGTCATTGCAGTAAGAGAGTGTGCAGCAGGCAGTTGCCTGGGAGGATAGACTCAGATTGAGTGTCTTGACAGGGAGTCTTACCTGGGTGCTCGGAGACCAGCAGAAGGGCATTGAGTACAGGAGGCAGGCAGCAGGGTGAGGGAAATGAGGTGTCTCAGATGGAGCTAAAACAATTCACTCTCAGGGATGTGCCCAAATGAGTGATAGGCCCTGGGCATCTCACTCATATCATTTATTCCTAACTTTGATGGACAGCTTCTGAAACAGCTACCAAGGTTCTCCACCTTCTTTCCATGGCTCTGTCTCCTCTCTTGCCCTTGTGTGTTGGCTTGTCCCAGTGAGTTGTTTCTAATGAGCAAGTGCTGAGAGCAATAAAGAACTTACTTGCAAGATGCGGAATTGCCTTTTAAGACGATGAATGAAGAACCCAAACAATTCCATCTTGAAAGAAAATGAAAGCCCTACAAGGCCCCGCAGAGATGCCAAGTCACAGCAAAGAAGTCAACAGTGGACTAGGAGCCCCCCCAGACATACCTGGGGAACCCTGATAAGACCTGGAATGATGTCAAAGAGCCAGCAAGACCGCCTATAAACAGCCCGGGGAGAAAGACTGAACGCAGAGAGCTAGGAGCCAAGGAGACATCAACTCCTGCTCTCTCCAACTCTACCCGGGGTGAGTCCACCGATGAAGGCAATGCTTGACGGGACTATGATGCTGAACTAATTGTATCTTACTCTCCTGGTAATCATTTAAATCAGTCTTAAGGTTGTTAGATTGTTTAATGTGTGTTTGCAGTGAAGAAACCGAGCATTTTAAAATGTCAAAGCGTGTGAAGTAATTATGGATTGAGTTGCTGGTGCCAGTAAGACAACACGAGGGATGGGATGTCTCTTCAAGGGTTTGCCTGGCTCACAGTCTCCCTCTTGCTCTTTTGTTTGCTATCTCTGAGGCACCATTGTTTGAGCTTCCCCATGGTGATGTCTGTGTGACCTGGAACTCAGTGAGGATGACCTCTACAAACAAGGAGCAGCCACCTCCATGCAAAACCCTCAAGGAAGTGGTCAACGTGAGGGAACTTGGCAGTGGACCCTTCCATAGTCAGATCTTCAGTTGAGACTGCAGTGCTGTGAGGGGCCCTGTGTTGTAGGTTCCAGCCAATGAATGGCAGATTCTGGATCACAGCCACTCTGAGAGAATAATAGTTATTGATTTAAATCACTAAGGTGTGACACCCCTGCTTTCGATGCACCCCCCCCCCATTGTGTTTAGGAGCCCTGGTGGTGCAGATGGTTAAGTGTTCCATTTCTAACCAAAGGCGGTGGTTCAAACTCCTCCTGGGGCTCTGGGGGAAGAACTGGCCTTCTGCGCCCATAACGATGAGAGTTTGGAAAACCCTGTGCAGCGTCCGCTCTGGCACATGGACTTGCTATGAGTCGAGTTTCAATTCAACAGCACCTAACAAACAGCAACCATGGAGGGAGACAGCTCTGTACCCTCTCTGTTAGCACCTCCTCCTCCACAACAGACTCCCTGCAACCGCCTCAGTCCTGGCTCAGGGTAACCCTATCTATTGGCTAGGGCTGAGCGGCCCCTGTGGATTTCTGAGACTGTAGTTCCCTACAGGAGCATCGCTCCCCCGTGGGGCAGCTGGTGATTCTGATTGCTGGCCTGTAGATAGCAGGCCAACTCAGTGCTGTGGCTTCTTGGGGTTCTAGAATATCACAAAATCAGAGGCCAGTCTAATTTATAGAATCTTTGAAAACACCACTATTACTCAATAAATATTGTGAATTGCCAGGTACTCTGGGTAATAGGAATTTCGGACGAAATGATTGCCTGCTCTGAAGACGTAGCAGAAAGCGACTGGCTGTGCTATGATCACCTCTGATCGTCTTTGGTGGTGTCTTTGCAGCACAGCAGTGACTGTTTTTACGACAGATTGTTTGGTGTCTTTCAGTGATTTCCATCTCTTTGCCTATCACCATTATTTTGTTCCAACACGGTGATCCTGATTTCCTTTCATTCTGTGCCTGTACTTTCCTTGGGTTCCTTGAGCATATTTGAAAGAGTTGTTTTGAAATTTGTAGTCACTGGGTCCAACGTCTGATCTTCCTCAAGGCTGATCGCTGTTGCCTTCTCATTTCCGTGCAATGGGCCATCTTTCTCTGTTTCTCTCTATGCCTCAGAAACGATGTCATGCCTCATCAATTTTGGGGGTGGAGCTGGAGGGATGGTCTTTATCTTTTCAGAAGCAGTGAGCCTGGAAGTAGTGCCTCCTACAACAACCTGTGTGTGTGTGTGTGTGTGTGTGTGTGTGTGTGTGTGGTCTTTCTCATCAGACTGCCACATTCACCTGCCAAATAGCCCTTCAACCCCTCTATCTGGCACAATGCTTCTGAGATGTTTGATGCAGGGATGCACCTCAGAATCTTAAGTGATCACTGTAGTATTCTGCATTATTAGCTAAGGTTTAAGCAACAGATATTGTGCCCTATCCAAAATAAACAAACACAACAATAAAAACCCTTCAAGGTAAGAGCATGCAAGAAAATCAGGGGGCTACAAGCTCCATGGTGGAAGCAATGAGAAGGTTGGTTCTGGCCAAGTTAGAACTGGCTAGCTCGTGCCAGTTCCATTCGAGATTTGTTTCTCATAAGCTTACCTAACAGTCCCTGTCCTAGAACTGCATAGGGTACTTAGGGTACATATATGAATTAGGGCCAAGATGCTACACTATGGTTATTTGAATGAATGAAGTGCTCAGCTGCTAGCTGAAAGGTTGGCAGCTCAAACCCAAGAAGGTGCTCTGCTGGAAAAAAGCTGGGGTCTGCCGCTGTAAAGATTACAGCCTTAGAAACCCTATGAAGTCGTTCTCCTCTGTCGCGGGGGTGACTACAAGTTGAAGTGGGCTTCAGGGCACTAAGGACATCAGCAGAGGGGTTATCATCAAGGTTTTCTATCAGAGTAGACCAATCACGTTTCTCGTTCTCCACTCACCGTCACCCCAGAGGAAATCTCTGGGGCTCAGAACCAATATGGGGGTTTTCAGAATCTCATAACAATTTATGTTAATAGTTCCATAGAGAAAATTGTCCTCATTATGATGAGTCTTTTTTAAAAAGTATTGTTTTAAATGCCTGGCAATACTGCGATATCTTTCTTTCCGATCAGTGTTAGCCCATCCCTGCCTAGTGGGTTTCTATTGCATCTCAATGGGTTCCTTTCATGAGGATGACAAAGGCATTGGTGAATTGAACAAAGGAAGAGGTGGAGCATTTAAAAGCAAAGAGGAAGAAGAGGCATTTTTTAACCCTAGACTTTCTGTGGGCACTTATGACTGATATTTAAAACAAAATTCTCTGCTGCGAAAATAGCTATTAAATATAACTCATAATACTGTACCACTTATATGATGATTTAATTCACTATATGATGATTTGATTCACTATCATCTCATTTTTGTGCTTATTTATAGAGTCTTGAAGGACCCGGTCCGACTGTGGGCACAGCACTGGGCTGCTGTCCAGAAGATCCGTGCTTCAATCCACCAGACTCTGCAAGGGAGAACGATGAAGCTCTCTGCTCCCAGTAAGGGTCAGTGTTGGAAACCCGAGAGAGGGTCACTGGGGTCAGAACTGGCTCTGTGGCAGCAGGTATGGTTTGGGCCATGGTCTCTCTGACTTTGTTTAATACTGTTTAGGCCACGGGAAATTGGACTTGAGATTTTTGGTGCTTTTTTTTTGGTCCTGCTGAGATTGCTTCTTGGGCTGTCAGGGAAGGTGTGTGTGTGTGTGTGTGTGTGTGTGTGTGTGTGTGTGTGTACGATTTCTCTTACTCTGTCAAGGTCCACTAAACTATGCAGACCCAGCCCAGCGGTAGCAGGCTGATATGTCCAGGTTTCAAGATGCCACAGCGATCGAGTCAGGTGAAAAGCAGATTTGGGGGCCACGTTGAAGGTTCTGCTGGACGAGAAAGAAGAGAGGCAGGAGGGTACATACGTGTTCAATCCAGTCACTGCCGAGCTGAGGTGGTGCTGCAAGCTCTCTGTTCAGGGAATGGCCATCAAGTCCTGGACACACGCCCTAGAGCCTTCTGGTCACTTGCCCCTCTCTTGGGGATTCTTGTTCTTGGGCACTTCTCTGGAAGTTTTTACACTGAAAGTAATTCTCTTCCACAGACTATCTGTGGAAAGGTGTGCATGCTTGCTCTTAGCTCCACCTCTCCGTAACCCTCACATCTTGTGGCTACAGGTAAAGTTCCTGGGAATGGACCTGAGATGATTCTTACGTCTCACGTGCTTGTTACAAGTTATTCTTTGATCATGGCAACACATGTACAAATGTGCTTGACACAATGGATGGATGTAGGGATTGTGATAAGAGTTGTATGAGCCCCCAATAAAATGTACTTTTTTTAGAAAAGGAGAAGGTATTCGTGTATTTACTGTCATTCAACAAGTATGCACTAAGAATTCACCATATGTCAAGACCATCACCTGCCTGTTCACTTGTCATCTTTTTATGACTATGATGTTGGACAATCTCCCACTGATATTTCTAACACCTGGTTAGTCACTGTGGACAGGACTCGGTGGAGTTTCTAGACTAAGAGAGACTAAGGGAAAAAAAAGACTTGGTTACTTACTTTCAAAAAGACTACCTAATTTCCAAAACGAAAATTAAAGCCTAGAGATGACAGGCGGGTGTCCCAGGCTTTGGACAGGTCATCAGGAGGGACTGGTTCCAGGAAAGGACATGCTTGGCACAGGGCAGTGAAAAGTGAGGAAAACCTGCATGAGATGTATTGAAACAATGGCCGCAGCCATGGGCTCAATGTCATGAAGATGGCATATGCCAGGCAACACAGTTCATTCTATGAGACAAGGGGCCACTGGGAGTTGGTGCTGACTATATAGCAACCAATGACGATGCACCTGGGAAGTATGGGTCAACTGTCCATTCAGAGCTTATTCAAGCCACGCTCCCTGAGGGAGCAGAGCCCTGTGCTTGGGGTCCTGGGCGGAAGCCCAGACATGGGTTGTGCTGGTGGCCATTTCCTTGCCACAGCTGAAGTCATCCGAGGGAGAAGAGTTCTTTGACGGGCTACCTGGGCTGAGGCCCTCTCGGCTGAATGGCTCATTAAAGCAGCAAACGTCAAGACTTCTTGTTGAGTAAGATAGCCTGAGAAAAAGAAATGAGAGAAACGCCAAAGTCAATAATGTAACAAAACAAGCAAGCAAGCAAAACTAGATGTTCATCTATGGGTACATCATTCCGGCTACTCTGCAGCACAGAAAAGGATAACCGTTGTTCTCAGAATGCTTAGGTTGTAGTTTCCGTGAGGACAGTCATCGCTTTCCTTCATCGTTTTTCAGCAAGTTAATACATACTTAATTATTGATTGATAGAAAACATTCCTTGGGATGGAGCACAAGCCTCGAGGAACCTTTGTATGAATCACTTGTTTTTACTATCAAAACATTCTTCAAAGTAGAGGCAGACTTCCTTCATCTCCCTCAGTGCTTCTCAAAGTGTCATCTGTCGCATACCTACCAAAGAATCATCTGGCTGAAATCAATTTCAATTTTAAAGTGTTCACTACAAATGCAGATTTCTGAGGATCTTCCAAGACTTGGATTAGAAAAGCAGAAGGCTGTTCTTGAGCATCTGCATTTTAATGAGGTAAACTGGGAGGAAGAGGATGCTTTCTACTCCAGGAAAGATTACAGTCTGGGGAACGCACAGGGGAAGTTCTAGCCCATCCTACAGCGTGGTTGTGAATCAGAAGTGAGTTTGCTCTGTTTAGTTTCTGTGGATTTTATGAGCCCTCGTGTTACAAGGTTTAAAATTCAGACGGTAGGTGTCAGGGTTGTATCCTCTTACCATGTTTGTTCAATCTCTATGCATAAAAAACAACTAGAGAAGCTAGGTTATATGAAGAAAAGTGTGGTATCAGATTTGGAGGAAGGCTTATTTACAACCTGCGATGTGCAGCTGACATAATTTTGCTTGCTGACACTGAGAACAACTTGAGGCATTTGCTGATGAAGATCATGGGTTGCAGCCTTCAGCATGGATTATGATACAATGGAGAAAAGGTTGCAGTTGCCAAGGATTTTCTTTTGCTTGGATCCGCAATCAGTGCTCATGGAATCAGCAGTCAAGAAATCAAAAGACAAGTTACATTAGGTAAATGAGAAGCCTAAGGCCACCTTGGAGTTTTGAAAAGGAAAGATGTTATTTTGAGGACAAAGGTGGACCTGACACGAGGTCACCATATGCATGGTGAAGTTGGCTACTGAAGAAGGCAGATGGAAGAAGAGCTGATGCAGATCAATTGTGGGGCTAGAGGAGATGATCGAAAGTACAATGGATGCCTACAGGACAAAGCGATTTGTCTTGGAGGAAGTCTGGCCAGAGTATGGCCTCACTCCTCAAAGGTGAGGATGGCAAGATTTCATCTTACACTTTTTGGCCATGTTGTCAGGAGAGACCAGTCCCTGGAGAAGGACATCATGCTTAGTAAAGTGGAGGGGCAGCGAAAAAGAGGCAGGACCTCGATAAGGTAGATGGACGCAGTGGCAGCATCAGTGGGCTCAGCCATAGGAACAATTTGAAGATGGCACCGGACTGGACAGAGTTTCCTTCTTTTGTGCATTAGGTCACTATGGGTCAGAATAGGCTTGACGGCACCTAACAACAACAACAAAACATACGGAATCTAAAGGTCAGTGTTTGAACCCCCCCCAGACCTGACGATTTCTCCCCTTGGGATTAGAGTCTGGTCTACAGGGTTGCTGTGCATCAGAGTTTACTTGACAGCACGCAGCAACAAGTGCTCAATAGGAGTGTCTATCGGAGTCTGTGTGGTGCAAACGGTGAATGCATTCAACTACAATGGAAAGGTTGGTTGTGTGAGTCCATGCAGCAGCACCGTGGAAGAAAGACATGATGCTCTATTTCTGAAAAATCATTCATTGACAATTTCATGAAGCAGAGTTCTACTCTCACATAAATGGGGTCAGAATGAAGCAGAATCCACTTCATGACAACCGGGCAGACATTTAATTTCTCTTCTCGGGGTTCTTTGACTTCTGTGAAAATGTGCTCTACAAACAAGGGTACTCGATGCCGTCGCTGCAGCATTTCAGACAGTTGTGGAATCAGACTGAATCCTGACACCTCCATTTACTAGTTCCACAACCCTTGTCAAAAAGTGCTCATTCTCTCCTATAAGACTTGAGGTACAAAAGCACTCATGTGGAGGTGTCAGTGTTAAAAAAAGACAATACTTGAACTAAGACCCGAATAACTAGATAGTGCATGCTCCCATCAACCAACTGCTTTGAAAGGGATCGCATTAGGAAATCCAGGATAGAGTAGGAGTAAAATATGGAGTAAAACTCAAAATCATAAAAGAAACCAGGCTTTCTGGTCTGAAAAAGACCAGTGAAAACCCCAAGACTATGGCTCTGTCGCCCTTCAAAACCTCAATTGAACTTACCCCAAGGTTCAATGTTCAGCCAAATGATAAACAGGTCTACAAAGGGAATGATCACACTAGTATGGTAGGCACATCTTAGCACAGTGGTTCTCAATCCTCCTAATGCCACAAGCATTTAATATAGTTCCTCATGTTGGGGTGACCCCCCCAACCATAAAATTATTTTTGTTGCTACTTCATAACTGTAATTTTGCTACTGTTATGAATCGGGCAACCCCTGTGAAAGGGTCATTCGTGCCCCAAGGGGGTTGTGACCCACAGGTTGAGAACCGCTGCCTTAGTACATTGACCATTTGAGATCAAAGAGGCGGTGTTTCCATAAGGTCAAAGTTCACGAGGTTTGGGGAAAAAGAGGGAATGGAAGCAGGAAGCACAGGGAGGAAGTAGGATACATGATGGGGATTGCAATGAATGAGATGAAACAAAATGTGTACGAGTTATTGGATGGAAAATTGATGATCTGCTCTGTATACCTTCACCCAATTCACCACAAAGAGTTAAAAAGAAAACATAAAGTGCTTAGGACAGGTCTGGCCCATACAGCTCCTTCATTTCTTATGAAGCTCGTTTCAAAAAGGCCTCCATTGGTGGAAATCCGGAAACAACAAGTGCTGACAGCAAACAAGCGGTTTAAGAACCACCCCCTTTTGTGTTCAGGGCAGAGCGTGGTCGAGGTAGGCTGCAGGATGAAAGCACTTCCTAAGAAAAGGGATCTAACAATTAGAGCTTTCAGTAGGTGGGTGCTTATGATCCAGGAAGCCCTTTTGCCAACATTATTGTATTTGTGCATCATAAAATATGAGGACATTGGTAGCAGAGTATGGTGGTCACAATGCATGGTCCTGAGAGTGTGTGGGCTCTGACTTCAAGGCCTACCTCAGATAGTTACTGTTGTCATAACCTTGATCAACTACAGAGCCTACCTGTGCTTCACATTTCCACAGCTGTAAAACCAAACGGAAAACCCAGCCAAGTCCAATTCATGGCAGCCTCATGTGTGTCAGAGTAGAACTGTGTTCCACTGGATTTTCAGGGGCTGGATTTTTGGGAAGAGATCACCAGGCCTTTCTTCTGAGGTGCCTCTGAGTAGACTCAAACAGCCAAGCATTGGGTCAGCAGTTGAGTGCCTAGTCATTAAAAATCCAGGGACTCCCACAGCTGTAAAGTTGGGAGCTCTGAGCACCATTTCTGGTACACTGTAAATGCTTAATATACGTAATCACTACTATTGAGAGCCAACCAAGACTCTGAGCTCACACAACCATCAAGGGGCTCAGCTGTGGTCTGAGCCTAGGTGGGCTTCCTAAAAGACAAAACAAAACAAAAAAACAAACCCCACTGCTGCCAACTTGATTCTAGCTCATATTGACTCTACAAGCTGAACTTTTCCGTGATGATACCAAATTGTTACAGGAGCAGAGAGTGGTTGGTGGATTTGACATTCAACCTTGAGTTTCGCAGCCCAGTGTTTAATGCACTGTGCCACTAGGACACCTTGGACTTCCTAAGCCCTTTACTAGATCCCCAAATTAAGCCCATAAAAAATAAAATCCAGCTGCCATAAAGTTAACTCCAATTCATAGCAACCTCCCTCAGGTCAGAGCAGAATTCCATTGGGTTTTCCATGACTGGCTTTTTTGGAAGTTAATTGCCAGAATTTGGGGGGGGGGGTGTCCATGGCACCTCTGGGTGGACTGGGAGCACTAGTCTTTGGATTAGTAGCCAAATGCTGAATTGTTTGTGCCACATCAAGTTCCTACAAATCTCAGCGGGTTGTGAGCAATTTATTACCATCCATACTCCAAATTCTTTAAAACCTCTTGGTCAGCCAAAACATATTGATAAACTAGCACACCAACAGAAGCCATTAGAGTGGACTCATGTCTCTGGGAGCTTGACTTTCAGCTGCAGCACCGGAATGCCTTCTTCAGGCTGGATGGGTAGTTAAAACTCACCGAGCAGCTGCTGGTGCTGAAGGCTGTGGATGTAGCGAGCCTTCAGGGCCTCCCACTGGGGTCTACAGTTGTAAATGCTCATGATGTTGTAGAAATAGCACTGCTGTCCTGGCGTCAGGCCCTGTCAAAGCAAAGGAGTTGATTGTAATGAATTGATGACGTTCTATAAGATAGTAAGCATGGTGTATTAAAAAATGACTTCCATGAAAACATGATGCTTATCTTTTTAAATGGTTGATGTTAGATGCTGCCAAGTTTATTTCATGCATGGAGAGCCCATGCGTTACAGAGCAGAGTTGTCCCATCAGGCTCTCCTGACTGTCAGCCTTGTGGAAGCTGTGTTACCTTGGATTCTCTAGAGAGGCAAACCCAGTGTATGTGTCTATAGCTAGAACGAGATTCATATTGAGAAACAGATTACACACATGTAGCAGTAGGTAAGTCCAGTCTAGTTCAAGTCAGGCTTCTCCCACCTCACGTGGCCATGGGGGCTGATGAATAGGAAGCAGGATGATGAAGCAGGGTTGGGAAGCAGGACACAGGGGAGGGAAGGGGTTGTACAGTCTGGTAGATGCAGAGGTAAATGAATCCGAGATCAGCAGAATCAATCCACCATCAGTAGTCCGCTGATGGCTCCTGGGGGTCAGCAGGCAATAAAGTAGGAGATCAAGGAACCAGAGGCAGGATACAGGTCCAGCAGAAGGCAAAGGGCCAAAGAGAACTCACTTCTGCGTGCTCTCTCTTGTACTAAAGGCCACACCCCCAAGGAGAGGTCTTCAAGCTGTAACCTGATGGATAGGTTACGCTTCACCCCAAACTTCACTTGGGAGGGTCTGGTTGGCATAGACACTATCACAGACGACACTTCTTGACATCTGTACACGACCCATAACCATACATACGCTCCAAACAAAGACAATAATAAAATCATACCTGTGCCTAATGTGATACAACTAACACACATACAACTGAAAGTGCACTAAACTAATTTTCATCTTACATTTTATAACTGAACTAAAGCAAAACTATCTGGTGCGTACATCCAAATAGAAATTACACATAGCACTGACAGTCCTTATTTCTGCAGCAGGTCACATGGCCGTAGCTGGTATTTAGAACTACCTTCTTCCACTACCCATTTCATATTTCTTTTGCCCTCAGCAAGTACGTTGGCTTGTCATGGTTTTTTGCCTGATGGGGTGAACTAAACTTTTATTGGTAGTCATGTTAGGGTTGGAGTAGTCTAGTCTACTGTTGACTTGAATTAGGGCGTGGTAGTACTAAGAAATGACCAAAGGGGTTTCCTAGATTCCAGACGCATCCTTCCTCACTTAATTATGAAATACTAACCCAATTTCCCTTTGGTAATCAGGATCAATCACACCACTCAGTATAGTAATACCCTTCTTTTCCTATTGATCCACACACATGAGGAGCCCAGACTGGCCAGCAGGCATTCTTAACTTCCACGTCAATGGCGTCACTGCCATCTCTCCAGGTGGGAGGATTCCCCCTTTTTGGAACGAAGACTTCCTGACCCGGAGATCTGAGGACTCCAGAGACAGGAATCAAGCATGTGGGGAGTGGGCCATTAGGAGTAATAGAGAATGGTGCCGCTCTCACTTCCACCCATTGATACCTGGACCCTGGAAGCCTGGCTAATGGAGAAATAGCACCATAGATCGGATGCTGGTTTCGAGCATATACAGCCTCCTGGAGAACATGGCTCCAAACCGGCAAGATATTGCCATCTAACTGGTGCCCTATTGTGTCTTTCGAAGTCCATTTCATCGTTCTATCAAGCCAGCTGCTGCAGAGTGATAGAGGACGTGGTAATACTGGTGGATTCCATGAGCATGGACCAATTGTCACTTTTCATTTGTTGTGAAGTGAGTTCCTTGAGCTGAGGTGATGCTTTGTGGGGTGCCACATCGATGGGTGAGACCTTCTATAAATCCATGAGTGGTAGTTTTTGGCAGAAGTGTGGCATGCAGAGAAAGACAGCAAATCTATATTCTGAGTGTTTACTCCAGTAAGAACAAAACACTTCCCTTCTCATGAAAGAAGTGGTCCTGTGTAATCAACCTGCCACCACGTTGCTGGTTGATTCCCCCGCCCCCTCCAAAAGAGTCTCATATCTTAGTCTCAGTGTTGGTCTCCTCTGCTGGCAGATTGGGCACTCGGCAGCGGCAGTAATCAAGTCAGCCTTTGTGAGTGGAAGTTCAAGTTGCTGAGCCTGTGCCTAACCTCCATCCCTGCCACCATAGGCCAAAGAGAACTTGACACTGCTTGGTCTCACTCTTCTATAAAAGGTCACACCCCCAAGGAGGTGTCATTCAGCTGTGACCAGATTGATAGGTTGGCTATACCCCTACCTTCACCCAGGTGTGTCTAGTTGACATAGTCTCTACCTTTCATGGAAGTATGCGTCACGCCTTTGTCCTACAGAGCCATAGAGTGAGTTTGAACTACCAGTCTTTCAGTTAGCAGACAAGTACTTAACCATTTACCCTACCAGGTTATCATTAGTTGCCATTGAGTCAATTCTGACATACACAACTTACATGGGCAGTCTTAAGAAAGAACATGGAAAATTGGAATTAAAAGACAATGAAAAATTTCTACAAACATCTGGAAGCCTCTCATGCATAGCACTGTCTGCCTTCATGGTGGCACAGGCCACAGCTGCATTTTGCGTTTTTTGGTGCATGGGGTCATCATGAGTTGCAGCCAATTGGAGGCCAACTATTAACAGCAACAGTGTTACATGCTTTCCTTAAATCTTCTACAGCAGTGGTTCTCAACCTTCCTAATGCCGGGAAGTTCCTCATGTGGTGGTGACCCCCTCAACCATAAAATTATTTTCATTGCTACTTCATAACTGTAAATTTGCTACTGTTATGAACCAAGCGACCCCTGCAAAAGGGTCATTCAACCTCCAAAGGGGTCATGACTCACAGGTGGAGAACTGCTGTCTTTGTGATGGTGGAAATGGGTATATGAAAGATTCAAGGTAAAGAGTTCAATGTATTATGTTAAAGGAGATTTATAAAGATCTTATAATTTATTGAGCTGTTCTAATCTCTGTTGTGGGAAATGGGCCATGACTTCTGGATACCAAGGTGAGTAGGAGAGCTCTCTGTGTGTGAGCACTAAGGGCGCAGGGAGATGACGCATAAATAGGTGGGTAATGTGATGTCACACATCTTTAGTATAAAACACTGTGAAAACAGAGAAGAAGAAAAATTACTCTGCCTGTAGCAGTCAAGGAAGTTTTTCTAAATGAATGACAACCATGTCTGAGTCTTACAGGCTGATGAGAAATTCCCTAAAACAACTGCATTAAAAACCTGGAGTCAACTCCAATTTGTGGCAACTCCTGTGTATCAGAGGAGAACTGGGCATCATAGGACTTTCAGTGGCCAGCCTTTTGGAAGCAGGGCACCAGACCTTTCTTCCCAGGAACCCCTGGAGTAGACTGAGACCCTAAACCCTGGGTTAGTGCCTGAGTGTGTGAGCTATTCCTGCCACCTAGTGTTGAGAATGTTGGCTCTAAATGGTTGGTCTCCCAAGTGCCCTGTGTTGGCAACACTTAAGAATAGGTTAGAAATGCAAATTCCCAAGCTTAACCGAGAGCTAGAGAATCAAAAACCCTGGGAAGTGAGGCCCTGAGCTGTGGGATTTAGGCAGCCTTCTGGGTGATTCGGATGCATGCAAACTAAAGTATGAGAACCCCTGGACTAAAAGAGGAGCTCTGGTGGTGCTGTTGGGTAAGC